AAAAAAAAATCTAACTGTGATTTAAAAAATGTGCTTGAAAGACCAATACAAAAACTAAAGCCCAACCTGAAGCTGAAGCTTAACCCAATACTAAAGACCAACTTAATAATAAGGTATTATTGAATGCTATATGGCATATATATATTATTGAAATTTTAATCAAAAAAAAAAAAAAAATTTAGAACAATGTGTTTGCAAGACCAACCTGAAACTAGTGATCAACCCAAAAATAATGACCAATCCAAAAATAATGACCAATCCAAAACTAGTGACCAACCCGAAACTAGTGATAAACCCGAAACTAGTGACCAACCTAAATATTTATTACTATACCAAAGTATTTATAAAGAATTGTATAATGATTTATATAAAAATAGTTGTAGATATTATGAGCCAGAAGATAGTTGTGAAGAGGATAAGCCAGAAGATAGCATATTGAAAGAAATTTATAGTGGGCAAACATTTGTGTCATTTGAAGTACTTGAACAATGTTTAAAGTGATATGCCATCTGAATAGACTTTGAAATAAGAACAGTAAGAGTGGAAAAGGGTGAGAGTAATTGGGCAAGAAAGACATATAAGTGCCATCATGGTGGAAAATATGTATCAAAAAAAAGATTGAATTCTACACAAAATAGAGATCGAGAATCAGTCTGTATTAATTGTGGGTTTACAGTAAATGCTTCATATTATAAATCTGAGAACCTAGTATTTGTTAACAAATTTGTTAATAAACATAATCATCTATTACAAAACTAGGATTCTCTTCAAGAATTCTTACTAGCATTACGTAGGATACCAGATGATATAATGAATGAAATCAAATTTTATATACAAGAGTATCAATTAGGGGCTACTGTTTTAAAAAAAATATTAAGAAAAAAGTATCTAGATCAAAACATTTACTACCAAGATCTTTATAATGCAATACATAAATTTAAAGCTGGTTTTTAAGTTAAAAATGATGCTGCAACACTTCTAGAACATTTAATTAAATTACATTCAGAGAATCCTGAATATTATTTCAAAGTTGAATTTGAGAGTATTGATAATAGACTATCCAAAATTTTTTGGATATTACCTAAGCAGAAGCAAATGTGGGTTTGATATCATGTCATTGTTATAAATGATAACACCTGTAAAATTAACAAATATTTAATGTCCTTAAATATTTTTGTAATAATTGATTCAGATTATAGAAGTCGAATCATAGCAATGGCAGTGGTTTGTGATAAAACTGTGTCAACTTATGAATAGGTTCTAGAACAAACTAAGCATGTAACAGGGAATCTTCAACCAAAAACACTTTTTACTGATGCAGACTTAGTGATGCAGGTTGCAATAAGCAACTAGTATTCTAGGACAATTGTGAGACATTGTACTTTTCATATTTGACAAAATTTAATAAAAAAAGTTAAACCAAAACTTTAAAGTAAATGAAATACTTTTATTAATGATTTTTATGTTATGTGCAATTCACTTACCAGTACAGCTTTGAATACTGTTAGACAAATTTAATTAATAAATACTCAGAAGTTCAAAAATATTTTAAACATGTATTGTATCCGACCAAAACATGCTGGCCTTATGCATTTACCAATGTAGCTTTTCAGCTAATACACATTCAACCCAACACGTAGAGAGTTTGAATAGGGTTATAAAATTAAAGACAAATTCAGGAAATTCATTATGCCAACTTCAGTTCGAAGTTGAATTAAGACTAAAAGATGAAGCCAAATATTCACAATGGCAAGAATTTTGAAATATGAACCCTATTACTGGAATCCTCTGGGTCTCTAATACTATTTTTAATTTGATAGATGAAATATTAAAAAAATATCTTACATCAAATTCACTGGTTCTACAACAGAAGCAAATGATAGAAAGCCTGTTGTATAGAGTTTGGATAAATGAACTTAAGAATATTAGTATAACAATGCAGAATTCAGATCAGTATAATAAAGGGTTTCTTGAGAATGATTATGAAGAACCTTAAATTTAATTAACATAGCTTTGGAGGATTGTTCAGAAGGTGTTTTGAGTAAAATATGGAAGGTTAAGCATCTTCAAACTATTACAAATAAATCTCAGTATGTGGTTATATTTAATGATAATATACATTACTGCACTTGTCTTTATTTAGTTTATGCAGGATTTGTTTGTAGGCATTTTTTTGTCATGATGCTTCAATCAAAAAAAGCACAGTTTAATATTAAACTTGTATCCTTCAGATGATATTCGAAAGAAGAACTTTTGTTAAAAAAAAAAGTTCAAAAAAAATTACTTACACTAATTCAAGTTGAAACTGAATTTTAAACCAGCATGTTTCAAACATTAAATAATATTTGTAGGCAAAAAATATTTGATGAATCTTTTATAAATTTAGATTCAAAAAAAGAAATATATAGCCGTAATATTGGGCTATGCAAAAAGGCTTTAAATTTGGCAATTTTAAACAATTCTAGTGAAGCTTTTGAAGAGTTTTTACAACAATTTATTAAAAAGCAAAATAAAATGTCTACAGAATCTTCTGAAGATTCTAATAATATTAATAATATCACAGATCTGATTTAGCACAAAGGAAAAGGCTGACCTATAAATAAAAGATACTTGTCAGCTATTAAAAATCAACCTTCAAAAGAAAAGAAGAAAAATAAAAGACAATGTGCTAAGTGTAAGTCTTGGTATCATGATTCAAGAAATTGTCCTAAAAAAAGTGATCAGCATAATAAAGAAAATAATTAGAAACAAGTAAATAGGTTTTGCAAGTGCTATGTAGGGTTCCTCAAAATCAAATCAAATCAAATATTGGATCGATTTGAATTTGATCAAATCAAATATTTCCTTGA